AAGTCGCTGCAGCGAGGCCCAGGGTGGCCAATATTCAGGTGTCAGATTCGGAGCTGACCGTAACTAAGCATCTGTCTAAGTGTGTCACGGCTGCAATAGAAGCGGAAAGTGTAGAATCTGGCATGGTTAAAAGAAGGTGGCTGTAAAAAGTTCCAATAAACTTCTCAGCCACCATTTATTAAAATTTCAAATTTATGTTGGCGATATCTCTCACATGCAAAGGATCTATTTTATTTTTTAAAGCACCAAAAATTGTAAATGTAGCGTATTAAATATTGAGAAGTGACGATTTCTTCCCGTTCCCTTTGACTATATTAAGTGCGAGACCTAAAAAATTGCTATAGCGTAACTATCGATTGCTATTTATACAAAATTAATTGAGGGGCATATTTGAAAGAACTGTGTTCGTTTATGTCCACTAATCATGTTATTTGTTGGTTGTCAAACTTAATATTGCATCACGTACTAGTACATGAACAAGATAGTACATGTGCGTATAGATTTTCTGTCGGTGTGGGTATTTATCTACTTATAAAGTTTGATGTTTGTTATTCTCGCTGCGAGCGAAGTTTTATTTACGGTTGGAGCTGACTTTTTATTTTCTTCCGTATATTGCTCGCTTAGATTTGAGAGACAAAGAAATTTTTTAGAATTTACCTTCTTCGCTCGGTTTAGCTATTTGTCTTAAACAATTCGCAATAAAGGTCACCCAATAGGAAGCGAATGCTGTATGTGTTTCTTGGATTAAGCTCAATAACGTTTAATGTAATGGTAATCCCCGCTTAATAAGATTTTGCCCCCATTTGCATATTAATTAAGTTATTTATTTGTTCTCTATTTGCTCTCATCTTATTGCATCTCCTAACTCTTTTTTAAGTCAATGAAATCTAATCAGTTTCATACTTTATTGCAAATTTCACGATAAGTTGTGGCTATTGCATTGCCTACCCCTTTATACAAGTTTTATGTGGAGCATTAGTTTCTGTACATAATCAGACGTTAAAAGTTATTTATTATATAAGACGATAAAGGGATCTTTTAACTTTCACGAAATAGTTTCCCTTTATCGTGGTGTATAATAAAAAACTTTATTTTATAGTAGAGGTCATATAAATCATTGTAAACCTTCTGACAATTCTGAATTTAATTTAGACGTCGAAAATAGCAAGCTTGGGTTCTGCCGTCGCGGTCGTTTTCATAGAAACAATAGTGTCATATGTTCTGAACGTCATTTTATATCGTGATCCGTGTCCCATTTGAAATAAGAATGACAGATATCATTAAAATGCAGAATCATCTCTTTCACTTTATTTACCCTTGCGGTTACAGAGCGACATAGCCTACTCATTGAAATCTATTAAAATGTCAATTTAACATCTGTTAAAAAAAGGTTATTTTATTTCGAGAAAGGATTCAAAACTTTGGCCCTCGGTAACAAAGGGAGATATAAAGTTAGGGGTCATTTAAGTCTTCGGGTAGGATAGCAAGGATCTCAGGCACACAGGAGGTAGACAAAAAGAACTAAATGATTGTGACCAGTATAATAATACTTTTACAATTCAAGGAAGGTCTGGAGAGCTCTCAAGAAGCTTGTCCTGCAAAAAATTTATATGTCAGAAGAAAGACGTACTCTTGACTCATAAAAGTTACTTAGTAGTATCATACGCCGACGACGTCGCGAGTTTATGTGAATTCGTACCATCTGCCAACGCGGCGGCAAATGTGTTGGCTACTGACACGCGGTCTAGTCTCGCGCACAGGTACGTTGTTTCTCTTCCCGCGGACCCTTGCCTTTAAAATACTTACAGCGGACGTAAGTATCAATACTTTGCGCCCAAATTTTTTTGGATAGATTTTTAATAACAAAATCTCCCGATTTCAGTCAAACTAAGTTGTTCACGCCGTACCACACACTGCGCATGCGAAATGAAACGACATATTTCCCCCAACTATCTTGAAATGCGAACTCAGTTCAGTCACGATGCAATGTATGCCATAATGCTCTAGTGACAAGGATATCCGGTTCGCACCCAGGTAGCTCGGGTTCGATTCTTGGTATTAAAAATTATTTTGTTCACAAAAATGCGTGTATAATATACCCAATGCAGCAGGGTTGGACTTTAGCTTATTTGCAGGTTTAAGAATTTCTTCATACATTTGTATGAAAACCAAACTTATAACAAAATGATTAATGAAGCTAGATATACGCAGTATATGGTACGGCGTGGACTATTTAAACAAACGTGACAGTGGGACCACAATGAATTTCCAGTAAGATACCGAACGCAGAACATTAAAAAGGTCAATGGTATCGGCGATTGTTATAATGGGTTGAAGTCATGCATAATTCATATATTGTCCTTTTATTGCAAGATTTTGGAACTGCTATCTATTAGAGAAGTATTACGCAATGCCAAAACAAAGTGTGAAAAAATCACCACCCTTACATTTAGTACCAAGAGGCACAAGACAGAAATATAATTCATCAATGATCATAATACTTGGGGAACGTACCATACGATAGAGAGTCTCAGCTGTTGTTTACTCTGAGGTTTCGTGTACTTTATCTGTGTCGGGCGTGGAGTAGTAGTAGTAAGAAGTACAAAAAATGAAAAAACGTTTTCGCCTTAAGGCGAGCAACTTTAGCGCATTTTCCATGAATAAATCAGTACTTCCTGAAAGGTCTTATACCGGACTATTTATGTGTGCAAAGGAAAATAAGTTATGGCATACATATTCTTATAAATCAGGCGTACACATGTTTAAAACATTTGATATGTTTGCCTTTACTACAAGAATCTGTGGTTAAAATTTCAAAAAATATATCTTTAAATAAAAAAGTTGATATTGCGCAGTGCGCATGTCTTATTTTTACAGCATGCGATATGTTTGTCTTTACTAGAATCATTTATGGTTAAAATCTCAAAGAAATACTTCCATGAATAACCAAGTTGACATTGTGTGGTTTGCGCATGCGCACATCTGATTTTTACAATATGCGATATGATTGTCTTTACTAGAAGCATCTGTGGTTAAAATTTAAAAAAAATCTATAAATTAGAACTGCCGAATTATTAGCTACCGAATGCAAAAAGAACGAACCTTGTATCATGAAAACTGTAGGAGTAAAGGCCTCGGACGAATGGCCGGAGAAAGTGACCATAATAGCGCCTCCCAACATGCCCTAAAAACTACGACTTATTAGTTAATATGTCATTAAATATATTGCCATTGGATATTTACTGCGTACACCACTTTCTCAAGTACGAGTTTTTATCGGAATAACTGACAGTTAAGTCATTAAACACTTAAGATTGCTAATATCAACCGGTTTTACAAATTACGTCTTATTAAACCGCTAATCGGGGAATTAATTATACACACGGTACATTTCTACGAGCATGTATGCACTTAACCTAAAAAACAATTCAAGGGCGACAGTACTAAACATCCGTTCGATATCGTTTGATATGTGGACGACAGCTTTGTGATATTCAGAGGTAAAAATTCTCAACTAGACACTTTTTCAGGATCATAAACGGCCCCCCACGTCGGACCAAGTCACTCCCTTCGATTCCTGCCACCCCTTATCTCAGAAAGGAATTCCTTTAGAAATTTTTTCCATAGGCCCCTTACTTTAGATCTTACTGAACATAATAATTACTCGAAGGACGTGAACATCGTTTTTTATATTACTTCAGCTAACAAATATGCGGTGCAGATCACCTGCTCTTTATCTGCATTCTATCTGTACTTATACCTGGCGGCGAATTTCCGAACCCCATCCTTATTCAGCGCACCTCTTCGCCGAATAAAGCCGAACACCCACAAACTCGCATCCTTTACGTACCTATGCCCGTTTCCCAACTCGATTGAGCGCGCCTTGCTGAATTAGATGGGGTTTCGGAACTCAAATAACCTGAGTCGTCATTTGGTGACGTGACTTATTTTTCTTGGGATTGTGCACTGAGTACCTATATGTACCATACCATACGCGAATAACATACTTCATACAAGTTGTTCATCAAATATTAATCATTGTGAGAAATCAGTATGTAAAATAAATATGAACAATTAATCAGTACGGATTAGTTATAGAATTTAACAGGCAAATCTTTTTAAATGAAATTAATGTTTAATTGAAACTATTCTGATCTCCACTGTACTCATTTGAGTCTTAATCACACAATTTTTAAACTAAATTCCTGGATCTGCGGTCGCAATCAAATACCATATCTCAACCAAGTTCAGCACCGATTCTGAATTGAGTTGGGAAACGTGAAATAATGATTTCGGCTCTATTCAGCAAAGCGGTGTGCTGAATAAGGATCGGGTTCAGAAATAAGCCCCCGGGACAGCATACTCGACCAATCGCTTTATCATTCGATGCAGACGCCGAAGAAATGTTTTTTCCTATGATTTATTTCGGCCAACCTAAGGCTGCGTTCTTGGCCCTCGGCGGTAAAAATTGTAATTAATCTGAAAAATAACTATTTTTAAAATAATAGATGGCGTTGGCGAGGAGAATTATATTTATTTTGTTAATGATTCATTGATGTACCTAATTAGCTTTCTAATACGTAATGAATTACCCTCTGGGCACACATTTATCCGACCTTGCATTTTGAATGGCATTTTTGTTTCATTCGCAGATTCACTGTGCAGTGTGAGTGGTGTATTGTAATTTGTGTACCTACCTAATAATTTTTTGAATACGTTCGGAACATTATTACTTAATTTTTTATTGTAACCACCAATTATGGGTAAAGGACGTCTTTCTTACAAATTTAATAAAAGAAACAAGAAATCTAAGGCAAGAAAGCGAGAATGGCAAAACAGAAACAAACTTAAAGAAGAAAAAAGAGAGGAGTATAGGTGAGATCATTGGTTTTCTTTAGTGATATGAAACCATATTCACAATGAGGTTCATTGTAAGTACTGGTTTGTATCTCTAACTATGGTCATTGATTATATACGTTTACTTATATACTTCGTAGTATATAATCAATGCTATGGTAGTATTGAGGAAAGAAGTCGTTTACGTCATAACACATTTTATCAAGTTATTACAACCCAGAATCATTACTTCTTTGTTGGATTGAAAGCATAAGACAGAGATACACAATACTTACTCTGCTTCGTGAACTTCATGGGTGACGTATTCGAATTCTTTCTTGAATGCTAGACTATATACTACAACGAATATTATGCCGAAGAAAAAAGGAGATAGTAGTTAGTTCTATCTTCGGTTATTCCACAGAGTAAAGTGCGTGCTTTGTAATGCGTACTTTTTTCTTTGAATGTGGAATGTCAGCTGTTGAATTTAGAGGTTAGGTTATGTTATGAAAGCAAAATTACTTTTTGTTTTTAGGGAAAATGTTCATCATGATCACAACTATTTTCATAAGGATGTGAACTCAAGAATTTCAATTGAGCCTCCCAATCCGGTTGCAAATCCTACATCACATGATATTGATGTACAGTCAAAGTAAGAACGTTTTTCCGGAATTGTATAATTTCACTAAATTTTTTTATTTAGAAGTGTGGCCCTTGATCATGATTATGATGGTAATGGGTTAGGAAATAAGTCGCCACAAGATTTGTCGTTGGAAGCAACACCAGGTACTGAGACAATTCAAGCTCACCCAGAATCTGACTCGCTAGAGGTGCTTCATGAATTCTCATTTATAGATAAAGAAGAGTATGATGAGTAATATTTTAAACTACGATAAGAGCTAGATCTAATCAAATTTCTGTTTTAGTGTTTTGTTGCATGAAATGGAGGTCGAGATTCATCCTAAACCTTCTATAATAACAGGACATAGAATTGTTGATTTGCAACACGTTTTAAATTAGGCATTGCATTTACAAGTTGACCATTCAAAGAAATGTACCGGAGGTCAATTGGAACCGATACTAGAAGAGAGAAACGGCTTGGTTAGCACAATAACCTTTAAATGCAATTATTGCGGTTTTGAAATAAAGCGGTGCACACATCCTGGAAGAAATTACGCAGTTCAAAACATTAATACGGCAGCTGTGTGGTCAACCATTTCTGCTGGAAATACTTTCAGTAACTTGCAGGAACGTCTAGCAATTATGAATATTCCTCCATTGACCTATAGTATGTTCCAAAAAATTGAATGCTTTTTAAGCAAAGAGTGGGAAGATCGTCTGTGGATTTCTATTGAAAAAGCAGGCATAGAGGAGTATGATATAGCTATTTCAAAAGGACAAGTGGACGAAAATGGTTTGGCATGGGTTGTCGTGTACACAGATTGCGGCTGGAGTCAACGGTCTTATGGGCATAGTTACAATGCTTCGTCAGGAGTCGTAAGTAAAAAACACTATGTACCGTATTTTATTTCTATGTAAACCGTTTGTCATTTATAGGCTGTAATAATTGGGAAAGCAACTGGTAAAATTTTATTCTTGGGCGTGAGAAATAAATATTGCTCAGTATGTGCAAGAGCTAAGAAGGAAGATGAAATTAAAGAACACATCTGTTACAAAAACTGGACGGCATCATCGGGGGCGATGGAATCTGATATTATTGTCGAAGGGTTCAATCACAGCATTTCTATGCACAAAATTAAATATTTAAAGTTTATAGCAGATGGTGATTCGTCCGTTTTTGCTAAAATAAAACAAAAAGTTACGTATGGCAATGAAGTAGAAAAAATACATTGCAGTAATCATGCTGTGAAAAATTACGGGAAGGCTTTGTATAAAATAAAAAACGATACTGCCATAGCATTGCAAGCTAGAAAGTTCTTAACAGTGAAAAACATCAAGGCTCTTCAAGAAATTGCCATGAAGGTTTTATATGAAAATGCTCATGGTCTCGTCGAAGATTTAAAAACAGACCTTATGAATGGACCAAAACATGTATATGGGGATCACTCCTCTTGCAAGGAAAGCTACTGCGAAACTCGAGGATGTGTGGAAAACAGTAAAGTCGTTGACTTAAAAAATACTGGC